CACTACGCTTTCGGGGTGCGGGAGCCCCAGATCGCTGTGCCCCCGGGAATTGAGGTGAGGGCGCGGGGGGCGCCGGGCTTCGGCGGCCGGGCGGAAGATGGAGGGAGGGCGCGCCCAGGGACTGGCTTTTGAGAAGTGTGAGAGGTGCCTCTGAGCGTAAGCAAAGTGTCCCCCGTCCACCTCGCTGCATTGTTTGGCCTGCTTCCCAGAACTGACGCCGGCCTCCTCGGTAGTACTTTTCCGGCGAGAAATTCCACAAAAAACTTTTAGCGCCGGCGTGATAGTGGGGTGAGGGAGGGGGCACTTCATCCATCCGAAGAGCAAGTGGGCCTGATTCTGAGCACTTGGGAGGCCTCTCCTTGGCCAACTCCCGCACTTTTCCCACAGAGTCCGCTGGCAAAGGAAGGGCTTGAACTTGGCTCAGGGTTGGGCCCAGAGCTCTTTTGGACCAGGGTGTGTGTGCATGCACACACACGTGGCAGGTGTGCCAGAAGAAGCCCCTCTTCCTGCTGGCAGAAAGGAGCAGAGGGAGGGAGGGTTTTCCTGCCTCGGTCCTCCTCGGGCCCTCTTTCTCCTGTCTTGCCTTCCCTCCCCACAGCCCACCGAGTTCCTGAAGACCCACTGTGAGGGCGGCGGCCACCGGATTGAGCTGGCCCACGGCACCACCACCCTGGCCTTCAGCTTCCAGCACGGAGTCATTGTGGCCACTGACTCCCGGGCATCCTCCGGCAGCTACATCAGTGAGCAGCCCTGCAGCTTTGGGGGAACTGTGTGTGGGGCCATCGAGTCAGGCTGTTATCTTTTCTTCTGGACAGACTTTGAGAAGTAAAATTCTCCCTCAGCGAACACAATTCCTGGTGACTTTACTGACACTCTCCTGTGATTTTTTTCAGGATCAATACAGAAGTGATTTGAACTTGCCTTCTTCTGGGATTTTTTTAAACTTCCCAGCCTTAGCCCACAGCTGTGGGATTTCTTAGTGATCTCCCATCCAAATACTGACCAGGTCCCACCCTGCTTAGCTTTTTCAGTTCGGCCAAGTATTGCCACCTACTGTAAGCTTTCACCAATTGCTGCTGATCAGACAGATTTGGCAGGATTTTAAAATGCTTCAAAGTCCTGCCAAATCTGTATAATTGGTAGGGACAGAAAATCCGACATCCTCTGTATTTATCAATATCCAAAGGCTAGATGCACCTGTCTTGATTAATCCATGTTCTGGGTATGCAAAATACATTGAATCATAAACCAGCAAACCTACTGACTTCGGGCAACATATTAAACGAGAAGCAAACTAAGAAGAACATAAAACAAGCTTAGCATGTTGTGGGAAAGCAATGATGGATCTGTGATGAACCTGCTTGAAGTCTCCAGTCTTTCTCATCCAGCAGCTTCCTCAGAGCTTGGAT